CGTCCTCTCACCCGCATTGTTCGAAGATTGGGGTGAATTTCTCAGTCAGCGCTTGTCTGATCTGTTTGCTTGGATTTGGGAAAGTCTGTCCCAGACAGCTGGGGAGATTTAGTGGTAGTGCCCATTTTCAAAAATGGGGCATGTAGTGAGTGTGGCAACCACAGGGGGATACGCTTGACTCGTGAGCAGCAAGCGGGATTCCGTCCTGGTAGGCTCTGCGTTGACCAAATCTTCACACTACGTCAGGTGCTAAAACAACGCCATACGTAAGCGACCCACAATTCTAGTGTTCGTGGATTTAAAAGGCGCTTTGGACTCGGTTGACCAGTCTGTTCTGCTTGACACGCTTGTCCATCAAGGAATACCCCGGAAGTTCGCAAACGTAATAAGCTTTTTGTATTCCCAGACTTCCGGACGTGTGAAAGTATACGGTGAGCTCTTCAAAAGTTTCCGTACACAAAGTGGTGTCCGTCAGGGATGCCCACTCTCCCCATTCCTGTTTAACTTTGTGATCGATGAAATCATGAGACAAACGCTGGAAGGTCTCCAAAACCCTGATGTTCGAATAGCCTGTGACGAAAACCTTGTCGATCTGGAATATGCAGGCGACATCATTCTCATGTTCAAAGAGAAGAAGGCTCAAGTATTCTTGAACCAACTGATCTAAGTCATCCCGTTCTTTGGTATGCACTTTGCACCCACAAAGTGTAAGGTCATGCTCCTAGATGCACTCACTGAACGCGCCACTTACAATCCAGGGAAAAGCACTCAAAGTTGTGGAGCGTTTTACGTGTCTTGGAAGTTGTGTTGGTTCTAAGTGTAGTGTGACGGATGAGGCGAATGCACGAACCTGCAAGGCTCGGACCGCGTTTGCTAATTTGAGACACCTAAGAAGGAGTGGTTTATCCCTGAATCTCAAGGGACGTGTTTATCAAGCTACAGTACGGGCTGTTTTGCTGCATGGCTGTCAGACTTGGCCTATTCGAGCAGCGGAACTGAGACGTTTTCAGATGTTCGACAATCGTTGTCTCAGAACCATAGCTCGCGTGGTTTGGTGTTGGTGAATCAGTAACGAGGCAACTAGAAAGTGAGTTTCCGGTCGTGCAACGGGTAGTTCCATTGAAGAATGTGTCCAACACCAGAAGCTGCGTTAGTTGAGACACGTATTGCGTATGCCTAGCCATCGCTTGCCAAAGAGTGTGCTGTTTTCCATGCCCAACTCAGAGTGGCGGAAGCAGAGAGATGACCAACCCTTGACCTGGCAGAGGGGTATAAAAGAAATCACGAAACGTTTTGGTGCTGTCGGTGCTACTTGCCTTCCAGGATGGGGACCACGTGATCCTCACTGCGCCTGGTTGGAGACTCTGCAAGATATGGCTTCTAACCGATGTCAGTGGCGTTCTTGTTGTCAGTTTCTATCCAGATTGCCTGAGTGAGTGTTTGAAGGTGTGGGCACCTCGGGATGATTGTACTAAGCCAGCACTAAGTCCCTTCCCCGTCCACCTTTATTCTCCTCTTCACAATAAGGCCTTTGCTTGAATCATGGTTGTACGGCAGTGAAGCATCAGTGTTGAACACTGATGTCATGCTGTCGATGGTGATGATGGTGATGAGCTGGTCAACCTTGGACCTGGTACAGGAGTACCAAAGAAATCACGAAATATTTGGGTGCTGTCGGTGCCTTCCAGGATGAGTGCTGCGTGATCTCTATGGTACTTGGTTAGAGACACTAAAATATAGGTGCTAATGGATGCCACTGGCTTTCTTGTCATTTCCATCCAGATTTCCTGAATGCGTGTCCGGAGGTACACGCCTCTCAGAATGATTGTGGTAGCCTAGCAATAACCCCCCATCCGCCTTTATTCCTTTCTCCAAAATAATGCTATGAAATAAGATGTGGTTGTATGGCAGCGAAACAGTGTTGAATACGGGTGGTATGCTCTTGGTGATAATGATGTTCAAGGATAGGGGGTGACGTCCTTACTCAGCGGTTGTCTGATATTTTTTCCTCCATCTGGGAAATTGGAAATGTCTCATACAACTGCGGGAAATCGATCCCTATGCCTATTAAAAAGTGCGTCCTCAATGAGCGCGGTAATCACAGCGATCAGCTTGACTTCGGTCGTAACGAGATTGATGGCGTCGCGTTTCGTTCTACTCCTTATGGTGGCCCGTGAAGCTCACCCGCGAGCTGCAAGGAGGATTTCGGCCTGGCCGACCGAATTTCCACATTCCATCAGGTGTTAGAACAACGCCGTTCGTATAAGCGATCCACAATTTGAGTATTCCTGGATTCCCAAACCGCGTTTGACTCAGCTGACCAGTCTGTTCTCCTTAACACACTTGCTCATCATGCAATACCCCGGAAGGTCGTGACTTGCGGGGTTGTGAAAGTACACGGAGAGCTGTACAAAACCTTCAGTACACAAAGTGATGCTGATAAGGATGTGCACTAGCTCCATTCTTACTTAATTTCACGATTGTTGAAATAGCGGGACGAACGCTGGAATACCTTCAAAACCGTGATGTCCAAATAGCTGCTGAAGAAAACTTCGTCGATCTAAAATATGCAGACGACATCGCTCTCCTCTTTTCCGAAGAGGGGAAGACCTATTTCTGGACCTACCGACCAAATTCATCCCCTCATTTGGCACGCACTTTGTATATATGGAGCGGAAGGTCATATTTCTCGATATACAGTCGCTGAACCCCTGTAGTTTCTCTGACGAGTAGTTTACAGAATTTTCCTACCGAGCTCTCACATTTTGTTTCTTGTTTTCATGCTCAACCACCGTAGAGCATTGCCACCATCGTTGTCTCGGAGAATAGACAACCAATAATAATACTAACTCTCGACTGTCATGTATAGAAATCACCCTGGTTAAAGCGAAAGGAAGGAACAAGTGCGGACGACAGCCTCAAGATGTTCATCCCTGTGGACAGCACTTGACCACGCATGTCGCCATCGCGTCGAAGGAAGATGACACCAATTGGACACGAGTGTTCACCACCACCACTGCCTTTGGTGGTGGTTTATTGGATCCCTGGTGTAACTGCCTTTGATGGAGGTTTATTGGATCCCTGTTCATGGCATCCCGCTAATCGATTAAAAGAAAATGGTGGGCAGAGTTTGTGTTAATATAACCTCCCTGGTTTTAAAACAATAACCTTTTGCCTGATACAGTTCATCTCCATTTCAGTGCGCTTATCTGCTCTGAGTATGATTTTCTTCTGAGTGTTACTAATGGCAGATACCAATCTTCTCAAGCCAGTGGCATTGTTTGAACAACTCTTCGAATCAAAGGGTCGTTTGGACAATCGCGAATTACTTGAACCTGGTGCCATTCACGTATCCGCAGGCGTTTTACCCTCATGTCATGGCTCTTCTCTCGTCCGCATCGGGCAGACACACATCATTTGCGGAGTTAGGGTAAGATCTGCAACTTCCTGTAATGGCGTGTGCTAATTTTCTTCCTTAGACGAAAGTTTTACCGGAACAAATCAATGCCGGACGAATAGTGTGCAACGTGGAAATTAACGGTCTGGCTAACCGTTCATCCCACCCCAAATCTTCTGTCAGCAAAGAAGCCCAGTGTTTGTCTTCCAAGCTACAGCAACTGGTTGAGACTGTTGTTTGCTCCGATGCTGCAAGTCAACTCAATATTTTCAGTGATAGTGACCAAATGTCCCAGCCGGTCGCATCCTACATCCTCAAGTTGGATGTGATCGTTCTGCATGACGATGGGTGTTTGTTGGATGCATGTATACCAGCAGCATTGACTGCTCTGAAGCAGGCACGCTGGCCAAAGTTAATCGCGCTCTCAGTAGATCACCGGAATACTTCCTGTCTAGAGCAGTATGCCCCATCGCCTTCGGGCGATTATGTGTCGCTGCATCTCATCGAGCTCCCTATTCCGGTAACTTGGTGTTTCCTACCCGCACGTGTCTCCAAGCCGGACGGGCCTTCAGTTGCCCCAGCGATCCTTCAACCCACGAGACGAGAACTTGCCTTGTGGGATGCAGATGCCGGTGTAGGACAAATAATTCTTTCGGTTTCTGGGCGAGTTCTTGACTTATCTGTGGTTCATGCCTTTTTGCCGGGACTTTTTGGCAACCTCTCAACTCCCCATACTGAACAACCGGACTCTATCACTGTGTGGCAGACACTGTATAATTCAGCTATGAAATATGTTAAGACGATGCACGATGCCATTTCATCAGCTGTCAAAACTTGAATTTGATTGTAATACAGATTATGATACATGTTTTAAAAATTTATAGAAATTGTATGCCAAACAAGTCGCGTATTACTCTTTCGCGTGTAGTGTTCGCAATTCATCACCTAAACTAATAGTAGCAATGGGTCGCTGCTCGAGCAACGGATCCGCGGTGCTTTCCGGTTTATTTTTCACAAAAGGTGCTAAACCGCTTCTGTCAAGTTTTTTGTTTCTGACCCAAAAGCATTGACTTCATTAGGTAACGCACGCTTGCTGCACGATTTTCTGTCAACAAAACTGGTTAATTTGAGGCAAATTTCATAGGCCGCTACTGAAATGCAGTTTGACAAAAGTAAAAGAAAACAGACTAGAGCATCGCATTCAGTTTTATTACTATAAGCGGGCCAATTTCCTGCTCCAACTGTTCCCCATACGGATAGAGCATCATTTAGATAGGTAAGTGCGACACAGCACCGGTAGACCGAATACAGAACAGGAAATAATCTATTGCAACTAAAGCGCACTTTAATCGGGAACACAAAAAACATATTCTGGAGAGGTCCAAGTAAGCAATGACACCGTTTGACCCCAAGTAGACCACATCTTCACACTCCGTCAAGTATTAAAGCAACGACATGCGTATAGGCGACCTACAATCTTGGTGTTCTTTGCCTTCAAGAGTGCGCTGGTTTCTGTGGACTGGTTACTTGTTTCCAACACGATTGCGCAATAGGATACACCCCAGAAGTTTGCGAATATCATGCGCTGTTTGTATTCACATACTTGTGGCCGTATTTGAATGGAGAGCTCTCCAGAGGTTCCCCACAAGCAGCGGTGTCTGAGAAGGTAGTCCACTTTTTATCTTTTAACTTCGTTATTGATAAGACAATGGGCCGGACACTGGAAGATTCGTCAGTTGCCTCCTCAGCGTACTACCACGGAAATGCAACGTGTCATCGGTATGTTTGCATATTACGCTCATTGGATTTCCTCATTTTCTGACAAAATCAACAAACTGGTAAAGAATAAAACATTCCCTCTACCTGCTGACGTCGAGTTGGCCTTCGACAACCTAAAGAACGAACTAGAAAATGCTACTACACTAATTACAATAGATTATAACGAGCCTTTGGTTGTTGAGACGGATTCCTCCGATGTGGCTATAGCCGCATCCCTAAGCCAAAACCGTCGACCGGTGGCCTTTTTCTCGAGGACACTCAATCCGAGCGAGAAGAATCATTCTGCCATCGAGAAGGAGGCCTACGCTATCGTTGAATCCATCCGGAAATGGCGGCATTATCTACTCGGAAGACCCTTCAAACTGATCACCGATCAGCGTTCAGTCTCATTCATGTACGGCGGTGGACAGAAGGGTAAAGTGAAAAACGACAAGATACAACGATGGAGGATTGAGCTGTCCGAGTACAAATATGATGTCATATACCGACCTGGCAAGGACAATCATGTCGCCGACACTCTGTCACGAAACGTATGTGCTTCCATGGGGAGCAATAACCAACTCGGAGAGCTCCATAACTCCCTCTGCCATCCAGGCATTACCCGTATGTTTCATTTTGTGCGTTGCAAGAATCTCCCCTACTCCGTCGACGATGTCAAGCGCGTCATTTCCTCCTGCAAAGTGTGTGCTGAACTGAAGCCAAGATTTTGGAAATCCTCTGGTAGACTCATTAAAGCAACACAACCTTTTGAACGTCTGAGTTTGGATTTTAAAGGTCCTTTGCCATCTAATACACGCAACCGCTACTTACTCACTATAATTGACGAGTTCTCTAGATTCCCATTTGCATTTGCGTGTGCGGATATGACCTCGGCAACTGTGATTGACTGTCTCACACAAATCTTCTGTCTGTTCGGAATGCCAGCCTATATCCATTCCGACAGAGGCTCATCGTTCATGTCGTCTGAGATCAATAGCTTTCTTCTGGAGAAAGGTGTTGCTATGAGTCATACATCAGCTTATAATCCACAGTGTAACGGTCAAGTTGAGCGTCTCAACGGTACTCTCTGGAAAACAATAAGCTTAGCGCTGAAATCTCACAATCTCCCGCCTTCCCGTTGGGAATCAGTACTCCCTGATGCTCTACACAGCCTCCGATCATTGTTATGTACAGTCACTAATTGTACTCCACACGAACGTTTGTTCCAATACGCACGTCGATCAACATTTGGAATATCGTTGCCATCTTGGTTGACCACCCCTGGTCCAGTTCTGCTGCAACGAGGTGATAGGTCATCCAAGTACCAACCACTAGTAGAAGAAGTTGACCTTCTGAACTGCAACCCACACTACGCACACATTGCTCATCGAGACGGAAGAGTCGAAACCGTGTCCCTTCGCCGTCTAGCCCCAGCTGTTCAGAGTACAACTGACAATGTTCTCAATCTGTCTGAATCCAACGAGGATACCGAACACCCAGATACGACTGAACTAACCGGACGCCAGCCCGATAGCTCTCAAGCATCGGAATCTTCTTCTGTACCGTCTTCCGAACACCAACCGAGTTATCCTTTGATTCTAGAACAACAGCGACGCATTCATCCTTACAGTTTGAGGAACAGAGAAGCTTGATTCAGTACATCACTTCCTGTCTACGTCAGCTCATATGTGCCTGTTCAAACACTGTCGGGGTGAATGTCATGATTTTTGTGTGCTTATTCTTATACTTACCACATATACTCGTACTGAACCTTTGTATGTACATTTCAGTTCATGTACGCTTGTTCTTAGACAAGTAAAACGTTGCTTATCCTCGAAAACCTGGACTCTGTTCTAACTCGTTCTCGAACTCATTCTAAACGTCTCAATTTACTTATCTAAGAACACAATGGACCCGCAACTACGACCTCGGTTCTTCGATGCCGACCCAGACTCCGAAGATGCAGCAAAACGTTGGAATCACTGGTTTGATACCTTCGAAACCTATCGGAAAACTGTCGAATCTTCTAAACCCGACAAACTTGAAACTCTCATCCACTTTGTGGATCCGTTAGTATACGATCACATTGCTGATCGCACCGACTATGAATCTGCAATCGACACGTTACGGAAATTATATGTCCGTCCGAAAAATGTCATATGCACGCTACCTGCTACAGACCTACGAACAGGAGAGTGGACAAGATACCGGTCAGTTCATACAAAAACTTAAATCACTAGCCAAAGACTGTGAGTTTAAATCTGTGTCTGCAACTGAATATCAAGAGGAGTGCGTGCGGGATGCTATAATTAACGGCATGGCCTCCACATCCATCCGCTTTTTATCTTTTAACTTCGGTATTGATAAGACAATGGGCCGAACACTGGAGGATCTCCAGAACCCCCGATGTTCGGATCTGTCCGAGCGAGAACCGTGTCGATCCGTAATGTGCAAACGGCACGGTTCTCATTTTTGAAAGACAGGAAGCGAACGCGTTACTTCAAAACCGACTAAGTTCATCCATTCCTTTTGTTAAGTGCCCAATGCCTGCGAAATGCAGTCATGATACAGGACGTGCAGTCTTTAAACATGTCTGAAATTTCGAGGAATGACACTGGAATTTGCAGAACACTATACCTATAATGGAAGCTGCATCAACTCGGGCGGTAGTGTGACAGATGAAGGCCAGAATTTCTTTTGCCAGTCTGTGGCAATTGTGGCGTCAAAAAGGTATTTCACTGGGTCTCAAAGGGTGTGTGTATCAGACTAGTGCTGGCTGTGTTATATGGTTGGTCACTTCGGGTGAAGAGTCTGAGATGTCTTCTAGTCGTTGGCCGATGGTTTCTCAGAGCTAAAGCTGAAATCAGTTGGAACCAGTGAATTCGCAATGAAATTATTAGGTGACGAGTCTTTGGTGAAGCAGAGAGTACTTCTCTCAAACAATGCATTCACCTGTGCAAGCTAAGGTGGCCGGACCATGCAGTGCGCATTCCGAGTTACTGCCCACCGAGGCGAGCGCTGTTTTCCCTCCGTGATTCGGAGTGGCGGAAACCTAGAGGTGAACAGATATTGACATGACTGGAGGGAATGAAGGATGTTTCGGAAAATTTGCCTCCTGTTGGTTGACGTTCGCCTTCCAGGATGAGGTCCACCTGACCTGTGTGCTTGGCTGCAAACACTGAACGATATACCGACTAACCAATGTTATTGTTGTTCATGCTACCAGTTTCTGTCCAGATTGTCTGACTGAGTGTTGGGAGTGTGGGTACCTTGGATATTTGTGGTAGACTAACCCTCTCCCTCTCCCCGTCCCGGTTCTTTCTTCCATCATAAGGCTTTATTAAAATAAATTGACATGGTTTTACGACGGTGAAGCACCAGTGTTCCATTTTGCTGTTGCTTTCTACGATGATGGTGGTCGTTAGTCCCTGTGAAAGCTCCCACTTAACTGGGGCGTACAATCAGATCAGTCCAAAATGTATTACCTTACCTAAATTGCCTCATAGACTCAAAATTGTCTGCACCTTTTAGCGCATTCATACAATTTCTGTTGTGTTCTTTTCCAACGGAACTCGTCAGATTTTTTGTTTTTTGAAAGTCTCATCTGTCAGATGGTTGCCTACGGAATCGGAACAAAAAGTGCAATGTGTGTTGAGATCTACAGGTTTCCGGTTTCTTTATTGATTGATCCACGGAACAAACTCTTTCCTGACCTAAGATAAGTAATCCGACCATGTGGGGGCGTTATTTCTCCTTGATTATTTGAGCAACAAGAGAAACAGGATGTTTAACAGCGTTACCATGAGTGGTCATCTAATACCAAGACAATCCCCAGAGTTAGACGTTGCGCGTGCATGAGATACCAATAAAAATGCGGGACTAAGACATCCATTGGTCCGAATGCTTACAAAGTGGCTTACAAGGTTGTCGCGTCACCGCCCCACGTAATGTAGATCCACTCTTACCGTACAGAACAATAATAGGTCGATCTAACGAACAAACGGTCGGCTGTCGATGGTGCAAATGAAATAAGGTTTTTATAGCCCAAGGGTTGCTTCCTCGGCTTGTCGTGTGACTGAAGTCGGTCTTGTTACCCTGTACTGGTTCATTCACTCCATCCATGGCTTTCACATTATATCTCACTTCTCCGTCATTTGACTCACCAGAATGTGAAAAATAATCGTTCAGCTGTAACACCCTCGTCTGGCTTCCATGCCATTCGAAGGAAGCACGAGGCCTGAGATACGGAACGTTTACTTTGCAGTCGCTTTTCTGTTTATTTAACCGTCATAGAAGGAAATCAGTTTCAATCCTTTTATTCTTTTCGGTCGGCGGTTTACAAACGGTAAAGATAATACGTTACTGGTGTTCATACTGCCACGGTACAAGTCATCCAAAAACTGGACCAATTTCTGGTGAGTTCAGCTGTGTTGAGTCATATGTTTGGGCAAAATGTGGTTGCACATATTGTGTTTCCTAGTCTGTATCGTTCTCATGAAAGGATGAGGGACAGAAGAACAGATTCTTTTGAAATGGCCTGTAAATCTGACGGTCCAGCGAACGAATAGGCAACTACGTGACTGATATTGGACGAGACCCTCAACTTCACTGCCAGTACCCGTTTGTACGCTGTGAATACCGAATTATATGGAAATAATCTGTCCAGCAAAGAAGGGTGCGATTGTCTAAGTCGTCACTCTAGGGTTACGTGACGTGAAGGGGATGGTCGAAGGTGAGTGATGCTGTGTTCTTTCTAATTACTGCCTGGTCACTCACAAGTGATGACAAATAATCTAAAAGTTGCGGGTTCGAATAGCTGTACATGTTTGTGGAATGCGTACTGCTGACGATTCCCAGCGGAGCGAAACAGCTGTGCAGTGACTTTAGGATTCGCAGTGTTTCGACTGAAGTTTCAAAGTCCTCTCAATCTACAAAGCATGAGTTATTTGGTTAGAAGAAGGAAATTCCGCATGTCCTATGTTTTCCAGACCTGCAGTCTGTCATTAGGGAGTCTCATGTGATACGCAGTGATGATGACTTAGCCGAACGGTCATTTATTCGGACTGCCAGCCAGATGTGCACTGCTGGTTATTCACAATGAGGATGAAAAAGCTGTACGGTGCTTCTCTGCTTTTCAGCATAGATTAACCTCACTTGCAGGACGAAATCTCCATTAAAATGATAAAATCTCACACTGTCGATGGTTACCAATTTGCCCAGGGTTGTTCCTGGCATTCTGGGTGGATGGCTGTGAGACTCTCCTATAAGGCACACTTCACTTACGGATAAATTGGCTTTGCCGTGGAGTTTTACCGACTTACTTTCATGGAAGCGTGTTCAAAATGGTTTATTTAATTGACCGAGGTGGAGGTAACTAACGGATAGTCCTAATTTTTTTGTGTGTGGAGGCTGTTTCATCCTTGTTGGGGATCATCAGAAGTGCGCATCGCACGAAACTCCGGAGAGTCTGGAACCCACGACCTCTCGACTAGTAGTTTGAACAGGTAATCTTTGGGCCATGAGCGGCAGTGATTAACTCGTGCTTAGACAAGATATAGCGCCGCCCATCTTTAAATCACGGGATCCACATCAAGCGATCACGTGTTGACTGGCTCCTCACCCATCGGATGAAGTTTATTCTTTCACTGAGCTCCATATAGATTGCTGGCAGTGTGAAATTTAGGAATTTTTGGGATTTCATCCTGTGCGTGAAGCCCACGCCGATAATTAACCGTTGGTGGCCGAACGGTGTTCAAATTACTAGCCAGGAGGTCACGGGTTCGAGGCTGTCCGGAGTTTCGCGAGTTGCGCACTGCTGATGATTCCCAATAACGATGAAACAGCTGTACAGTGGTTCTCGACTTTTCAGCGCAGATTGACTTCACTTACAGAACGAAATCTCCACACACAAAAAACCAACTCTGCTCACTATCAACAGTCCTAACCCTTGCTGCCAATTGTTTGGGCGTTATTGTTTTCTTGTGCTTTGATTCATAGTTTCCTAGCTTTTGAGAGTTATGACATCCCTCCGTTATCACTCTTATTGGGACAGTCGGTTCATTATGGACATGGAAAGTGTTTGCCGTAAAGGATTCAGAAAAAGGAATGCTTCCAAAAATTCAGACGGTACGGAGTCAAACAGTTCATGGTGTATTACTGTAACAGAGAAACTTCTGACCGATTGCATCCTTATTATGCGATATCTATGAGGTTTATAATGGCTTCCCTTTGTTTTTATGGGCTGATCTTTTTTTATCGTGTTATTCTCCCTAACTACCGAACTGGCTGCACGTGGGGGCAGCTCCCTGCGTTGTTCATCTTCATTTGGTAACATGTAGTGCCTTATTCGGAAGAACTTTTTCAGTACAGTTTTCTGGTTCTTGTCAAATTTGGCTTCTTCCGTCCTTGACATTTCTGGACAAGTCTACCAACTTTCAGATCCTAGCTGCTGAGTAGAAATTTTTTTGAACTCAGTCCACCACTGACCCCCCGGTTGTCCATGGTTCCCGCACGCTTCACTTCAATTGTGCGCTAAAGAGCGGTGCATCTCGACAAATCGACTTTATTTATGGCTTTTCATACAATGACTGCGGTTGTGCAAAATATAATTCGGCAATTAGCTTCAAGATACAGCGGTAAAACATTAGGAAAGTTTAGTATAATTGATTTCTGGCATCGGTTCCATATGTCCGGCGATCATTCATGGATTGTAGCGCGCGACTACCTCGAGCATAGTTCAGATCCGACCCCCTATTGCTTTGGCTCATCTCATCTTCCTCCAAGGGTGAATATGAATGGTGTTCATCAGACCTTTGGCCGTTCGATGGTTCACGAGCCCTGGGGTATCGCTGATTGGTATATAGCGGCTGTTGACTGTTGTCACTGCCGTATGTCGATGGAATTTGGGATTCAGGCGGCGAGGCAACTAGGGGATGCCTAGCATCATCTGCCTGCTCATCAACTGTGGGTAAGGGCGCACCAAACCCAGACCGTGGGTGCAACAAACTTGGTGTGAACAAACTAGCGCTACCTTCACCATCCATGCGTCGGAGATCTGAATCCAGTGTGATAACCTGGAATTGGAAGGACGAAAAAATAATTAAGGAATCAACGTGAGTTCCTTGAAATGAAAGAAGTCAGCATTGATGAGGCGTGACAAGGGGCAATATGTAGAAATGGTACAGGGACTAGAAAAGAGAACACGTGTTTTCAAAGCTCCGAGACTGATATCTAGTGTTAATTATCAGCCATAGCTTGGAAACTGTGAACACTCATGACGGACAAAGTCATACTTAGTAGAAGAGATACCATGACACTGAGAGCGAACGTTTCAACCTCCACAGTGATTTCATGAGCAAAAATGTAGTGGAGCGCTACAGAACAAAGCGATGCAAATTAACTTTGTATCGGTTTTCCGGCGATTAGGGCGAATAAAGTTCTTCGTGACCGATTCTTTCAAACTTCATTCAGCTACTATGCTATAATTTCCTTCCCTCATTGTTGTTTGAAACGTTGCCAAACACCCACTAGCCAGACACAGCGAACAACCTTTGGCGGTACCGCGTATCCGTCTAATTGTCTGATCGTCTACACGAGTTTGATACAGCGTAGGATTCATGCTTATCACAGTCGAGAACAGGAAATCAGTAGTTGGAGCTGCCATACAGATATAAAGACTAGTTACCTAAGGAAAGGTAGGTCAAAGAAGACTGGATGAACGCTTATGTTACGAACCGAACCGAACACCAGAAGAAGCGGTCAAAAGTTTTGCTAAAAGTCATCGAACTGTATGCACTCGAGCAGTAAATCGTGGCAGGATGACATCAGCAGGCCTGCTTATTTGCCCTTCAGCGTTCCAGTCTGCTCCACCGCACGACTCAGCACACGAACAAAACTTCAGATTCAGCCTTTGTTAGAAAGTGACAGAATACGCACCATAGAGACCACCTGTTTGTCGATGTCATGCATTGTTTCCAGGTTTATTTTTCGCGTGCGTGTCGGTTTTTTCTGTACATGTTTCAGCCTACCGTCTGATGGCTTTCGGCAACGTATCTTTTGTCAGATAGGGTTCGGAATAGACAACAATCTGCGCTTTTGAATACATCGGGTGGACATTCGTGGTATCCGTATATAGCATACAATCACCGTTCACATGTTTTCGAAGATAAACTTCACAAATCGTTTGGGAGAATAATAAATTTAGTATGTGGGTGACAGCACCACTTATTTAGATGGAATGTGCATCTAAAACAGAAAACCATTGCCTTTATTTTTTCATTCTAGGTATGAAAAAAGATCAATGTAAACTTAGTTTAAAAACTGACTGAGAGCTTTGAGGCAGATGGTTTTCAATTTTTCGACAAATATCAAGTAAATATGAGGAAAAACTTTGTAGGTCCCTCACTGGACTTAGCACCTTAATGGTAGTGGTTATTTATTCATGGGTGTTGCTTACTTGTTCCGGTTTAGTTCCTGTCGACGGAACCTTGACAACGACCCCTCCAACGCTCTGCGTTCCTCCGTACAGGCTCCAGCCATAAGCGCTCGCACCCCCACGTCCAGATAATACACTTGGTTGTCCGTACTGGTGCATTATGGCCTCGAAACGCTCCACCTCCTCCTGGAATAGTAGAAAGTTTTGTTTTTTCTCTCGGATAAGCATAGGATTTGAAAGAAATGTTTTCATATCAGTCGTGGTCATCAACATGTTCGGCTTAGACGTTTTGACGAAGTCAAAAATATATAGATTAAATAAGGGTAGATTTATTCGTTTACATGGTCACTCGGTTAATCTGGTTGGCCACCTAACTACTACTTTATTAAGTGTTTCTGAAAGTCTGGAGAAGACGGCTTGTGCGCCCGGTCCGCCTTTCCTGAACTTGTCCCGGTTCGACTTACTTCAGAAGCTCTGTCCGTGTAGCTCAAGCAGTAGAGGAACCCGGCAGCAATGTAAGATGACAGAGCTGCGAGTATGGCGAATCCAAACGACCACGAAAGAAAATATTGATCCGGTCTTGGCATCCATGACCTATCTTGCGATTCGATGGCGAATGTGATCACAGCCAGTGTCAACAAAACTGCGATGAACAGCTGAAAGGGGAAGTTAATGGGGAAAAGTCGAGTGTATTACAGGTAAAAGTGAAGTTAAAAGGTTTACGGTGTAGTAGAAGTAACGCCTTGAAAACACGTATTATCCAGGACTACAAGTGACATACCAGCTCCGCATGTACTAGACTCGTGCAGCTGTTTCACGAGGAGACACGATAGTTTAACCGGGCCAAAATACTGAACACTCGCAAGCACTAGAAAATTGGCATTTTGTCGACAACCTAGCATATTCGACGCCACAATCGAGTAATTTCAGAGAAAGTACAGTTCGCTTGGCCAATCCTGAAGCTTGCTCTTTTACGGCATGAAAAAAGAGGGAACAACACGTCGCAATTACGTGAAATTGTTGTAGGTTCGAAAAAGCTAGACGGCCGCACCTCGAGGTATTTCAGACCAGGAATCATACTTTGATTTTTTACTGCTAAGGTCCTGCCCATCTCCTAAAAGGCATATTCGATGGTGGAGACTTAAAAAGGACGATATCGTCAGTGCTTTTAATGTTGGCTAGTAAACTATCCACAATAAGCCCTATTTTCATAGATTTGGAACTTCAGAATGGCCCTCGGTTAACGAAACAGAGCGAGTACCATCGGTGAACAGTTAACAACGGTCAAAACAGTTACTCGTATTCTCCCAACCGAAGGGAGCTTGCCCAACAAGCTATACTGAATATGACTACAACCAAAGAATGTTGGACTACAAACAGCGTCCGCATATTCCGAGCGTCTTTCTAGGACAGCGTCAAATTCTGCATAAAGACCTTGTCGACACATTGTAGTCGTTTCACTGAGTTATGAGCAGGAATGCGACGGAGACTCAGAAAGCATTCAGTCCTGCTTTCCTCTTATGTGCTAGGAAGAAATACAGATGACGGTCGCGACAGTATGTTTTCCATGTGGTGATCGGTTGATATGATATTTGGATGAGCATAAATTGCAATATACGGAACGGTTTACTGCATCTGATAGTCCACTGTTCAAACGCTGATGTAATTGGTTCTTCATCACTTATCGTTGTCAAATTTAAGAGTGCGCATCTGCTGCGTTTCGTGGAGTTCATACATCCCGACAGGGTTTACCCAAATCACAAACGATCTACAAACTTCGCTCTTCAGGTGGACGTAAACAGAATGGAAGTTTTTCGCAGTTCAGAGTGGGGGGGGGGGCACTCCAACCTAGTAGAAATCGTAGTTGTTGAATTTCATTTATACTGGGGAAGTAACCATTTTTGTCTTTGGGAGACTGGCAGCATATCAGCGTACCAGTTATAAGGGTCCACTTCTGGAGGAAGATTCATTCTGATCTGGCGGATTTATTTGCACCTGCTGCGAACGAAGACATCATCTGAATGTCCAAAAATTAACCGTAAATGCATCAACGAAAATAGTTAAATGTAAATCTGAATCCAAAACCAGCCCGAAATAATGACGTGAGCCCTCACGGAGAGCCTACTGGGTTCGCAGAGCATTGGATTTTCGGATTCTGAAAATGGTTTAAGGTAGCCATCATTGGTTTCAATATATGGAAGACGAATACAGCGCCAATTCATTACGCCCTTCATTAATTACCCTGGTGTTGTGCACTGATTGCAGGAGTGTGAAAATTAGCTGGGTCTGCTTATCAGGTATCAGCATCCAGCCTTTAGGCTTGGAACACTGCCACATGGGGTCGTTGAAGAGATCAAGAGAGCGCATCAAATTTGACAGTGACCGCAAACCAACGCAATTGCATTATGGGTTACTATTCGTAGGACCATACCGCAGTGTCAGACTTATAATATTCCTAGGGTCATTGGGAATCATGGATCACTTCAAACTGCAACCCTATACAACGAAACAGGTCCGCAAGAAGAGCACAAAATCTGACATTTGGAAAGAGAGTTTCTCAGGGTTGCTCTCTGCATTAGTGCCAAGTGCCTAGTAGAAAAATGACTACATCCCCGCACGGAAAAATTGGAAAGCGAAGCTCGTTTTCGAATGTCGAGAAAATGAACAAGGACAACTTTTTCTGCCCTCAATAATCTTATCAGGAAACTCAGCGAAACATTGTGGTTCGGTGTCTTCAGCTTGTCTCGCCAACCGACTTGTCAGTCTCATACAGAAATTCATTTATACAGGAACAGCTGTGAATAACTTGGGACATAAACACTTCGAGGCCCAGACAAATTAGAAGACTGAACTAGGCGAAACTAGATGCCCTTAATTAATTAACCTACCGTCAGCGCCTATTAGATAAGATATCCATACTGGTGGCAAAATTGATATTCTGAAGAACAAGCTTTAAGGCGATCTTGTTGGTTGTGTTTCTTTTTTATCTTTCAACGTTAAGCCGTTAGTCCTGGTAGTGTAGATAAGGAATGCGCCATTTTTTTGGGAAATACGAAGTTCTGGAATTTCCTTGACTGCAGCAAGCCAGTCAAACATCTAGAACGGACTGGACTCATACACTCACTTGAGAATGTCTAGAATATGTGTTCGCACAATTTATGCACCTCTGTCCACCTTTTGGTACGTGCGGAAATTCTATAATATGTGTAAAATGCGGACGTCACTGAGTCCTTGCATAAAAAGGGCAATAAACCTATTCCTGCAAACTACCTGTCGAGGAACTCAAAGTCCATGGTGAGTGAAGCGAATTATGATTCAGAAAATTAGACAAAACTAGATTCCCAAGTAGGCCAAACATGGGTGCATGCGTTCTCATTTCTTCAGCCTTCCGCACCAAGAGGTTGGGCACGAGAAAAACTTTTCGAGTTCGAAGAACTTTGTCTATACAAACCTCAGGGTTTTACTGAAGCATCTGGTCAAGCTATCGCCAAACGCCGTTCGAAGTTCCCAAGAGACACCCACAAGGTCAGAGTTTCCGATGGAGTCTCAGTGAAATTTTACCTTGCATCTAGGACTTATGAAGTCCCCATCAACAGATCACTTTAGGCCAATTGCTCACTGACCATCCGGAGAAAGACCGAACTTTCTATAGTCAGAAATATGCTGCTGGTCCCAATTCATATGCTGCCCCTTAACTGAGTGAGGAACCACGCCCACTACCCAACTACCGTTTGCACTTCACAGCAGGCGGAAGAATACAAGATATATCAGGTCACATCGTTTTCCAAAGAAGACTCTAGCCAGGACCTTGATGTGTGAAATCGTATAGATTAACGAGCGATGAGCAATATCAAGTTTGTCTTTTACTTCTATAGCTCAAAAAGTACGTTGCGGTTATCCTACATATCCAAAAAAGGAATATGCCATGCTTGATTATGTTCTAGCCCAATAGCAAGGGGATCGTGATAAGGATCTTTTTAGTAAGTGGTCGCGTATAGAGTTCTTCATATCGGGCATCTGAACTAGATTGGTCAAGGTCTCGGCTGTAGATTACTGAATACGAAGAACCACGTAAGAACTTCATTTTTGCCTTCACGTTGTTTATGTTAGTTTTGCGTCCTTCTACCTAACTATAAGACACGTACCAGGGGGCACTGGTGCCAGTTGAAGAAAATCTGGTCTCGAAAGGTCAACAAACTCTATTGAATTTCTACATCTAATTACCGTCTCCCTAATTCGCATGACGTACAACGGCGTGAGTCATGTTGCGGATGTATCACCCCTATCCCCTTCACACCCAACCAGCAGTTCCGGTGTTGGTCATTTCAAAGCTATCGTTATCTCTTGTTTCCGAGATATCCAAACTGGGAGTGGATTTCAGCAGACTGAACTGATTGTATTAGAGATGAACGAGCGACAGTTATCTTACTATAGAACCAAAGACCGCTCAAGAACTTTGAACGATTGTTTCAAACTTGGGTCAACGTTTTCCACAGTTTAGTGATGGCACAACCTTGGAGTGGAATACCACAGGGTCGCGTGCTTCAGCCCGTTTTGATCAAGCTGCTTGTTAACGACCTTTCAGTCTACGTTAGACAATCTTTCCTGACTGAAATTCACGAATGAGCTGAAAATTTCAGTTGGTGATTCAGAAGAATGCAGCTATCGACGTGCTTCAGTAGGCACTGGCTCAAAAAGCAGCCACTTCGCACTGTGCCCTACCAGTCGACGACAATCAAACAGTTGGTGGGCACCATTGCTATAAAGGAAATTCAGTGGAGCTTGATGTTTCATAATAGCTTCTCAGCCCTAGACAGATCAAATATAATGACAGAGATAATAAGAGATAGTGAGAAAGGTTTGCAGTGAGCAGCGAAGCTTCGACCATGCCCTCCACTTTTTTCGAACAACTTCTGGTGGGGTCACATTTAGCTGCGTTCACACGTTTCGAAAAGTCAACGTTTTTCAGAGAAGTAAATTTTTATCAAAAGCGAATAGAGTACACCCCACGCCTGACCATTTTTGCTATCTTCATTCATATATTTTCTACTTATGGAGGGCCTGTTGTTTACACGGGAAATCCTACAGGGTGATTTGGAATCCGAGCAACAGGTATCTAGTGGTTAACGGCTCAGTTTACAAGTGCTACAGGCATTTCTCAGTAGAACAGACCTCGAAATAGCTCACTGGTTAAGCAGCAAGCTTACTGACCGGAGGATCAGTGGTTCGAGCCAAACCTTGTCATTTCAGCTGGTTCTATCTTGATTTGGGCAATCGGACATTGTACCACACCGCGCTTCCTTCAACTGGCAAGACAGCTATGTCCCGAAAGGGTGTTTCAACCATATGTTACAGAATGCGGTTGCAAGAGTATGTGAAATTAAGTTTTGTAAACAGATAATGAAATTGGGAGTTTGCGTTACTTCGTCATCAAGTCGTTAAAAAGTGGCGTTAGTATATACTTAAATATTTAAGCAAGCACTGTACCGCTCTCGCCCGATGCTTTCAGCTTTGTATAATCCAAATGCTGGCAGTATGCTGCGAACCCTGTGCACAGGCCAACTGATTACGAGTTGGATGGGCTTAAAATGCCCCCATCTCACAATGTGAGAAAAAGACTCACTGAAAAGCAAGAAACGAATATTTGAATTACCTGTCCGGACATGGCCATTGTCGATTCTGCTGCCCGGTTCCCGAAAAATAAGTAGTATAGGATGAGTATTAGTAGTACGCAACACTGTGTGATGAATGCGACCGTGATCAAGACCTGAACAGCAATCAACCACCCTGGATCCAACCACTGCCAAATTCCAATTTTGAAGAAAAACGGATCGAATAGCCAGTAGCACCCAGTAAGTACATTAGCATGATAGTCCTGGAACGTTGAATCGCAATGAGGTGACAAACCTTAGGATGTACAAATCTATCAAAACATACAGACCAAATTCCCATATGTAGGAAGTTACTATGCACTCGATCGTATGACTGCAGCCAATAAGGGCTAGAGAATGACATAAAGAAGAACAGAAATCCGATCGCCGTTGCCACACATGCTGCGTAGAAGGGCATGTAAATCTGCGTCAAATAGTAATCTTTCGCCATTTTCCTGGCTGTTCATGGGCATTTCACAGAACCGCTGTTTACCATTTCAAGGTCATACGATGCATGCAGATGAACTGATGCGTTTTGTCGGTGCGTGCACGGACATGCAAACGGGGGCCCGGAGGTTGGGGTCTGTTTCATGTTGTAGCTGCTTTGAGTTGTTTTGACGGTCTGGAAGCACTTGCGTTAGTGGGCCTGAGTGTCTGAAATGCACGCTGTCGCGGTACTTTCGAAATGGATTGCGCTTTTCGCTCGTGGAAAATTTTGAAAGAATTCTTTCACTGTTCAATCTATTTACAGAATTAACACGTTTCAATGTATTAAAAACTTCACTCTGAAATAACTTTTACGTGAAAATCTCTATCAGCTGGCACTGAATTCCTGATGTGCACCCGGTTTCAATCAGGAGCCAGATCAACACAGGATGCTCTCTGTAGCTATTGATGCGCCACAACAGAAGTGTACGAAATGGGTGTAAAACTAATCTACGACGTGGTATGCATTGTCACACCTGCGAGGCCTGGTGGCGCTTGAATGTAACAGGTGAACAGGAAGACCAGATGAGCCTGTTATCCAAATCTCCCGGCGCGTTTGTCTGCGCCAACTGCCTCTATCTTGTGTATTCTATAACCAAATAGAGAGCCACCAAATCCTCACTGCCGAATCAGAAAGACCGGTGTGAATGTTCCGCTTCGACTGGGACACTCGACTCAAAACTGGCTCTTTTTTCCTTAACTTCTCGAAGGAGCCAACTCAAAGAAAGGAGCGGCCTTGGTGAAAATCGTAGTACACATTCTTCCCTGAACGAGATTCGTCACGCGGTACGTTCGAAGTCATTTTCGTTCTTCCCTCGTGCAAATTTGTGAAAGAATTTTTTTCGCTTTTCAATCCATTCACAGAGTACATACGAGGCATTTTTGAATTTTATCGCTGTAACAACGTTTAAAAGACAACCCTTTTTATTTTGCGCTCGATGTTTCGAGCTGACTCAGAAAGGGGGAGGGCTGGTGGGGTTGCTCTGTATTTACATGTGGTCCCACAAATCCCGATTGTCCTCTCTGACGCTACCGCTGCACCCTTTCGCGATGCACTGTGGGTCCAAATCCCGCTACGCGGGTCCAATTCTCTCCTTCTCGGCGTGGTCTACCGTAGCCCCTCGAGTCCCCGTGAAGATGACCAATTCCTCATACAAACCCTTGAGCAACTCTTCCTCCAACTCCACTTCACTCATCTCCTGCTGGTAGGTGACTTTCACGCTCCAAAGGCCTCCTGGGTGGAGCTCTAACGCGTCGGATCAGGCGGAATTTTCGCAGCGGCGCTGAATGAAGTCCTTCAACAGAGCGCTTGGACTCAACATGGCGTTGCACCCACCAGATACCGCGCAGGCCAACTATAATCCTTCCTGGATGTGGTCATTACTAACAAAAGACACTTCGTTGATTAGGTGGCAAATAACTCTCCACTGGGACATAGCGACCACTGTGTGCTGACCTTTGATTCCATCTGCTATTGGGAGAGAAATCCCGAACCTCAAACGTGGTTTCAAGACTTCTGCTGTACAGACCTCTCAGGTATGCGTATCCTTCTTGAACAAGTTAAACTGGGAGCAGCTTCAGTGAAAGATTTATATAGGACTGTTTTCCAGAAAGTTCACGAGGCTGACGCGATGTTCGTTCCAAAAAACCTGTACACGGACAGATGAACCGCAGGCCGCCTAAAAGTATTCGGCGACTTCTGGAAAAGAGGTGCCAACTTTTTTCCAAAAGTCGACTACAGGAGACACAGGATGAGCGGAACTGCTGTAACTCAGAAATCCGCCAATGGAACATGCGAAAACAAGCCACCATTCTGGATCTCGCTCGGAAAACAGAAAGTTACTGTTCAAATACACGAGACATCGCCACAGAAACAAGCAATCCGCGTCCTCTTTGGGGAACAGGAACGGAGAACTCACGAGTGACACTACGGTGGTATGCGTGGTTTACAACACTATGCAGGTCTACATCCAGCCCCAGCGCACGTGTCACATCCATTCTTGTCCGGGTGTAACTACGAAAAGACTCTAACCGACTTCGTCTTCACGGTGAAAGACATTCATCAGCTCTTGCACAAGATCAACCCATTCTGCGCGTTGGGGCCCAAAGAGGTGCATCCAAGGATCATGAAGGAAACATCGTCTACATTGGCAAATAATTTATAACCAGTGTTTCGTCAGTCGCTTGACGAAGGCCGCCTTCCCTCTGCTTGGAGGCAAGCGATTGTCACGTTAATTTACAAAACCGATGACCGATTGTCGCCTGGCCGCTACAGGCCTGTAAGCCCTACTAGAATTCCGTGCAAGGTGATGAAACGCATTCTGAAGCGAGCTACCCCAGATCATCTTACTTCCAACAATTTGATATCTCCAGCTCAACACGGATCTCTCTCAAACCGTTCTTGCGTAAGGAACATGCTCGTATTTGTGGATAGCTTAACCCAAACCAAGGACGAAGGAGTCATACTAGATGCCATATTTTTTGAATTCTCAAAGCATTTGACAGGGTCCGACACGTCTCGCTGCCCCAAAAACTCGAGTCTTACGGGATTCAATGGAAAATCTTACACTGGATCAAGGCGTTTCTGTCAGACAGATCATTCCGAGTGAGAGTAGGCTCGACCTACTCTNACCTACTCTTCTCCAGCGCCGGTCTCCTTTGGAGTTCCTCAGGGCTCCGTCCTGGGACCAGTGCTGTTTCTTAACGACTTGAAATCCTGTTCTAATGCGAGTGCCGTCCAACTGGATGTAGACGCTGCCAAGCAGCGGTCGTTGGACTGGCACCTTCCTCTGAATGATGAAAAGTGCGTCCATATGTCGTTTGGAGGGGATTCAGCGAGTGCCTTTGTTATGCATGTTGAGAAGGTACCAGAAAACATCGTGAAGATAGATGCCAAAAAGGATTTGGGCATCCGGGTCTCCTCAAACTTGTCCTTCTCACTGCACCTTGAGAAATCGGCCCAAAAGGCATTCGCCATTTTACGGATGATCCGATGCATCTTCTCCCGTATTACTCGCATGGACTTCCAAATACTCTATGGGGCCTACGTCAAACCGCTCTCGGATTATGCCAACCAAGTTGTCTACTCAGGACGCCCGAAAGATGTCACCCTCATTGAGCGCGTCCAGCGAGCCGCTACGAGAATAGTTGCCAGCCCCAAATCCGTGGACTACGAAACGCGTCTCGCGATGCTTGATCTCTTTCCCCTGGAGTACCGTGCCCTGTTTGAACAAAGCTTGGCAAACAGGTTTCTTACCATTGACCCAGAAAACGCAAGGCCGAGACATAGTGAAAAAAGTTTCATGCTCAGAGCACACACATTCATTAGACAAAATGTTTTTCATTTCGGGTAGTAGCTGCGTGGAATGGCCTCCCTTCGACGGTTGTCGACGCTCCTTCTGGAACCCAGTTTAAGGCACTATTAGACATTTTTATGCGAATCCTCGCGCTGGCAAGCACACTGCCCCGCGCTGAGAACATGAGGAGCGGTGCTACACCCTCTTCAACTTGTGCCTTCCAAGTGAACGACAGCCGATGAACGACAAGAACAAAACTGTTCCGGGAAACTTGTTCAGAGGCATCAATGCTGTGTATTAATCCGCGAATCCGTGGCTCCTTCCGGATGGTGCAAACCACGAGGCGGACAACGCATGACTTGGCGGAAGGGCTCGAAAAAGACCCTGAAGTGTTTGAGTGCTGTTGATGTGGTATGCCCTCCAGGTTGGGGCATCCTGACCTCGTCTGAGCTCGGTTGGAGATGCTGCATGTAATGGCATCTAGTCGATGTCAGTGGCATTCATGATGTCACTTTCCTTCCAGAATGCCTCATTGAGCGGCTGGAGGTGTAAATTATAAAATTTCAAATGGCTCAGCTGTAACACCCTCTCGATGTCCAGCCACCATGCCACCCGGGGGAAGCACGGAACCTGGGATACTCCCAGGTTGTCAAACTCTAGACAGGGGAGGTCGAGAGGCAGCTGTCGGTTTCGAACCACGAAACTTCCGGTCAGTAAATCTCTGCTCAAACCACTTAAATGCTTGACGCAGACATAGGTTTCCTCCCTCACCCACCCAAGTTGTTAACACTGATGTTACTACACTTCGTGACAATGAGGATCCTTACGCAGGTCCGTGGTTTTTCTCAGCGACCTCGTCACACGCAATCTTGTCAAGCTGTGACTACGAACGGCCTCTAATCAACTTGCCCTTTACGAAGGAGGACATTCATCAACTCTTGCACAAGCCAAACCCGTTATGCGCGTTGGGACCAAATGAGATCCATCCAAGTTTTCGGAAGGAAACATCGTTCACAGTGGTAAAGCATTTTATCCGATGTTATTCCAGGTGCTTGGCAAAGGTGATGATCCGTCTGCTTGGGAGGAAGCGATTATCACGTCAATCTGCAAAACTGGCGACTGAATGTCGCATTCTGAAACGGCCCGTTTTGGATAACCCTACTACCGACAACTTCATATCCTCAGTTCACCAGGAATTCCTCTCAAACCACCATGCCCTTATTTATGGACGGCTTGACCCAAGCTAAAGACGAGGGACTCATATAGGACGCCATATTTCTCGATTTCTCAAAATCGTTCGGTCGAGTTCCACACTTCCACCCAGTATTCTGAAACAAGGCGGCCGACTTATTGGAATACTTGCACTAAATCTTTTCACAAACTCCTTCAACCACAGGGGAATCCATCATATATCCCTCCTTATGAGAACCCTTGAACGTCTGGTCAAAGATCCATTAACCAAGTTTCTTATGACAACTAATGCCATAGATGCTCGGCAGTATGGTTTCCTGTCTCAGAGATCCGTTACTAGCTGTCAGCTCCACTTCTTCGAGACCATCATAGCAGCCTACTACGCCGGGAACTCCACTGTAACAATTTACCTGGATATTCAAAAAGCCTTTGACCAGGACCCCATGCATCTCTGCTGCACAAACTTAGTACCGTTGGCATCACTGGAACCTTATTTCAGTGGTTCGCCTTC